AAAGTAATAAAAAGTAATATAAATAATTTTGATTTCTAATTTTTTATTTATATTTTCCTTCCATTACACTGCATGCTTAGAAAATTAATAAATGTTTATATTTCATGACTTTAAAATTTGTTGTTAATATAACAAATTAGTTCTGTAATTATTATTATTTAATAAACCAACGTTGCCATTTAGAGACTATATTATTTTTAAATAGGATCTAATATAAATACTTTTGGACTTCTATTTGTTGTTTATATTTTGCTACTACTTAAAAAAATGTTTATATTATTAAATGATTTTAAATTTTGTTGTTAATAGGTATAACAAATTATTACTGTTATTATTATTTATTAAACCAGTCTTTGCTTAAAAACATTAAAAATCATTTTCCTACATCCAAAATAAAAAGTATTATTGCAGTGTAACAACAGAATATTAATAAAAAAATGCAAAACATATAGACATACTATCCCTAACTAACTAATGCTAAAGAATAATATTCTTTGCTTATACCAACTAATACGAATATATGGCAACAGCGCCCTTCATAATGTATTTTCTGTGTAAATACTTGCACCTCAATAAAAAAAATAATGTGTCCTTATCTATATTTGACTCGGCAAAAAATCAAAGATGCCGGCTTCTTTCATAGCATTTTCTAGGAAAGAAACCTACGTCGCCGGACGACAACTAAAATCCAGTTTATATTTCATTAAAATCGATCCTGACGAATAAATGAATTTGATAAATGAATGAATTTTATATATGAATGGTTTTTGCTGCCGAATTACTAGAATACAATATTTCAAGGCAAATGACGCATCTATTCGATAATTTTTATTCGAATAGTTTTCGACGAATGTTTTTTTACTAGCTATCGAATTATTCGAATGAATTGCAACTATCGAATGTTTCGATAGTATTCATTCGATAGTTCCCACTACTACTATTGACAGCCGCCCTGAATAGATGTACGGTCGTCATTCCCGTCCACTGTCTAATATTTTTCAGCCATGATGTTCGTCGGCGTCCCTGACCTCTTCTACTATCTATTTTGCCCTGCAGTATCAGCTGGATAAGTTGGTATTTATCATTACGCATCACATGCCCAAGGTATGCCATTTTTCTCACTTTTACACTATGTACTATTTCTAGTTCCTTTTGCATTCTCTGGATCACGGTGTTGTTTGTGACATGGTAAGTATATGAGATCCTGAGCATGCGGCGATAGCACCACATTTCAAAGACCTCCAAGCGTCTAGATGTAGCATCTGTCAGGGTCCAAGCTTCCACTCCATATAGGAACGTGGAGAATACGTAGCACCTTAGGACTCTTATAGCAATATTCAGGTGCATATTGCATAGGATTTTTCTAAGACGGTTAAAAACGGTTCTGGCTTTTTCTATACGGCATCTGATCTCTCGTGAGTGATCCCATTCCTTGTTCAAGCTGCAGTCCAAATACATGATTGTATCTGCTGTTTCCAAGGTTTCGTTATTCGCCCTAAACTGGTGGTACTGCGCCTCATCATTTTTAGTAACTACTAGAATTTTGGTCTTCTTGCAGAATTACAAGAATTTTGGTCTTCTACCTTAAATTATTGGTGGTTATGGTTTCTCCATTGATCTTTATTCCTTCTTCTGTTTCACTGAGCGCTTGTCTAAACAGTATTTCGGAGTACGTATTAAACAGAATTGGTGACAGTATGCATCCCTGACGCACTCCCCGACTTACTGTAAATTCTTGGGAGGTTTCGTTGTCTACACGCACGGTCGCTCTCTGATGCAGATACAAATTTGTTATACGGCGAAAGTCTTTGTCGTCGATACCATATTCCATTAATATTTCAAATAGTTTGTGATGTTGTACCCTATCAAACGCCTTCTCGAAGTCGATAAAACAAGCGTAGACATCGCAGTTTACGTCTCTGGCCCTCTGTATCAGGACCTGTATAGAAAATAGGGCTTCTCGCGTTCCCATTCCGCTTCTGAATCCAAACTGAACTTTGCTCATGTTATCTTCAAGCTTTCTATATATGCGAGAGTGAATGATGTTAAGTAAGATTTTCAATGCATGGCTCATCAAGCTTATAATTCGGTAGTCAGAGCACCTAGTAGCATTTGCTCTCTTAGGAAGGGGAATAAACGTGGAAACCAGCCAGTCGCTAGGCCATTCTCGTGTTTCGTATATTTTATTGAGTAGCTTTTTCAGAAGTTTAAGTTGGTTGTCTTCCAACAGCTTCAGTATTTCTGCTTGAACGTTGTCTGGTCCAGTTGCTTTGTTATTTTTTAGCCGTGTTATTGAGTGCCGTACCTCATTCTAGTGTTATTTCTGGACCTGAATCAGCATGGACAATGGTTTCCGCCTGTTGCTCCTCATCAAACAGCTCTCCCATGTATTCTCTCCACCTTTCCAGTGTTCCTCCGGTGTCAGTTATTAGACCACCTTGTTTGTCCAATACCAAGTTACTGCTACGTGAGCTAGTCCTTCCTGCCATGGTCTTGATTTTCTTGTGCAGGTTGAAGGTGTCATGTTTTTGTTCCAAGGCTTCAATCTCCCTACATTGGATCTGTTCCTATACCTGCTTTATTTAAATTATAAAATAAATCGTGACAATTCTCAATCAATCGAGGCGAATGAGGCTTTATTTAAATTATAAAATATGCTTTATTTAAATTATAAAATAAATCAAAATAAAGATTCAATAGTGCCAATTCTACAATTCTCAATCAACCGAGGCGAATGAGGTGCGCCACCCTGTATTGGTATTACCAAGGGAGTTTTGGTCTTATTGGCTCATCTCTACTTTTAGTAGTAAACTTGAAAAAATATAATTTTAAACATTAAAAAACAGACTTTATGCAAGAGGTATCTTACCTGCACGGTACTGATCCTGTTCGTCAAAATTTTCGTAATTTATCAAATTATGGTACTTATCGGAGCCCAAACAAAATTACAGGCCGAAAGCTAATTTTTCCAATTGCTACCCGACCGACGATTGAAGAGAGTACCCACGACATCGTGATGCTCTTAGCCTTGTACCTTTGTACCGTACCGCCCGCCCGTACTCAGATAAATCTAATAAACGGATAAAGTAGGTACCATTCTGTAATAGTACAGATTCGAGGGTTTGAGAGACCTGTAATTTGTCGTCAGATATATCGTTGAACCCAATAGCCCCCTTACACCAGCGGATAAGTTGACCGACGCGCAGTGGAAGGATCATGATTAGCACAAAGTAAGAGACATTGAGAATCAAATAATTTTATTTTTTAATAATTTAACTGCCATAACCATTTAGAAAAATACTCTAATTATTATTAACTTATTGAAATTTTGGGATATAATATTCTGATTCGTTAATATTTTAATACAAAGGTAACTTTTTACCAATTTAGATCCTTTTTTAGTGTATCGTCAATAAATAATAAATATCAAAAAATAAAATAAAGTACATTTTTGAAACCAATAAACTTTTTTATTGCACAATTGCCAAATCTTAGCCAATGTTTTTTTTTAACTTTTGTCTTTAAAAATTATTTTGTTTATCAGAAATATGATAATAACATCATATATATCATTACTCGCTGACGAGTATTCGACAAGCATCAGAAGATGGTCACGCAAGGCGTTTTCTTTCGTGAGCTTTTCTCTGACTGAAAAGCCCGATACGTGATGTTATTTGTCTACCGCACTCCGAATATTCAAAAATCTCATTGCTTTGTTGCCTCTTTACTTTTTGTTTGTCGCTGTTAACTGAGTTTACAAATTCTCAACAATTTCAATCAATAAACTAGATGAAAATACACAAACATCACAGTTTTTGAACTATATAAATTGAGATTCGGGAGGAATCGATCTACCACTTATATCCATATAATTGCTATAGTAGAGCAAACAGAAAAATATAACATTTCTCTGCTACCGTGATAATTATGGAAAAACAAAACTTGAGCGTAAAAAGAAAGGGTCGTTTTTTGATAGTTATAATAATAATAATAGCTCCCGTATATAGCGTTTAACGCCTTGGGAGTAGCAAGGTACAGCTTGCTATACTAGAGCCGTTCGGTATACAAGGAAGGTAATGTGGCTAGCACTACGCTTCAACCGCCTATTATTACCTCATGATTGTGAATCCCAAGTACTCATTTAAGGCTGAGTCGACTTAGGTACCCAAACTATTTTTATTTTAATAAAAATAGTCGGGTGCAAATAATAGGGTGTGGGAATCGAACGCACACCTTGAGATTGGTAGACGAGAGCCTGTACCTCTACGCTACCGGTTTTTTGATAGTTGATTATAGCAAAAAAAAGGTAGATATTCTCTAATAACATGTTAATATTTAAAGGGGAGATTCTTGAACCTATTTTACGAAAAAATCTTCGTATGAATGTATGCCCTAAACATCTTAACTTTTGAGATACAGGGTGGTAAGTTTTTCCAAAAAGTCTTTTTTTTTTCATAATAAGTCTGATGTTATTATAGATATCTTTATGAAACTTTATCCACGACTTCTATGCAGCAAAACGTCTTTTTGATGTTCAAAAAAAATTATTTCAACCAGTGGCGTACGTGCGGGTTTTATGTAGAATATATTTCGAGAAAAAATGGTACGCCACTGTGTTGTCTTAAAATAAACATAATTTTCAAAATCTTTATTTATTTCTAAAAAAATTTCGTATCTTTATTTTTTTCGTTGGACGCATAGTTTTTGTTTAAAAAATTAAAGTACTTCAGGGCCAAATCGCTAAAACCTGATGCGGTGACTGTTGTGTTGAAATCGTTTCTGCTTTACCTGGTTGAAAAATGAAATACAAGAAACTTTTTTTGTGCTTAAAAATAATAATTTTCCTTCGCAGCTTCGTCTCCCTTATTGCATTTTGTAGTGTATAATTTCGCTCCGAATCGGCACTTTTTTGTAGGTGATAAGAAATAAAATAAGTAAACATCGTCGTGACTCAGCCTTTAACTCGTCATTATAATTTCGTGCCCGGTACCGGACGCATAGAAAAAGGAAAATATTCGTATTTTGGTGAAAAATGGGTCGTGAAAGTAAACAAAAGGACAGTTCATCGTTACGTAAAAGTTGTAAGAGTGCTAAACGTGACAAATATGACGTAATACTGTCCGAATTGAAAAAATTAAAGAAAAACATTAGGAATACTTCGTCAACATCGTCATCTTCGGGGGAGGAACAATCAGAACAAAGTCGTAAGTAAAATTATATCTAGTGTGGGTTGTTTTTTAGCATATAAATGCATTTTTATCACATGGCAAAATAACCTTTAAAATCCTTGGCATTTACTGATGCTACAGGTGTCTGCCAAATTAAAGGGGTTTATGGCACATACCGGGGGGCATTTTCAGATGCCTAAAAAGTCGGTAAATAATTAAAACAGTCTCCGTATTTCCAGATACGGATTCTGAGGTGGTATCGGAGCCTACCCCTGATTACCCTCCTGCCCCTGCTAACACTGTGGTTGTCGAGGCTGAGGTACATGTACAGGAGGACATCTTAGGCGTTTTTGGCGAAAAACCCCAAAGTGAGGAGCTTATGGGTGAAGAGATACATACAGAAATAGCAGAAAGATGGAGCAGCCTAGCGAAAAAAGGCATGTCAGCAGAAGACAAAGACAAATTAGCAAGCAAATATTCCATCCCAAAAAACTGTGCGTTCCTCAAAGCGCCCAAGCTTAACGAGGAAGTTGAGGCGGCCCTCAAAAGGCCCATCATAAAACAAGATAAGTATCTAACCACTTTACAAAACCTACTAAATGCTGGACTTAGTGCTCTGGCGAAGCCTATTAATAAAATTGCATCGACGCCCGAAAACCCAGCAGAAAATATCCAAGAATTACTGCCATGTTTAGCTGACGCCGCTAAAGCAATAATCGCTGCCCAACAATCCCTCTCAATGCATAGAAGATTCTTAATTTTGCCGGGCCTTAACGAAAACGCCCAAAAAACCCTACAAACAACGGTGGTTAACGAACAACTATTTGGGACTGATCTTCAGGAAACCCTTAAGTCATCCAAGTCAGTAAAAAGGACTGGTGAGGAACTTAGTAGTCACATTTCCAAGAAAAAGCCGTACCAGGGCCAGGGCAGTACATCAGCATCGTTTTTCCGAAAACAAAATCCCACTTCAAATCAAAATTTTCGGAAAGGGGCCTCGGAAAACCGCAACCCTCAATATCGACCGACATGGAAATCATCACAGCCGAAGTCAACGCATTACAAAAAGAGGGGGGAGAGGGAAAGGACCTACAAGCGGCGCAGCTACCAGAATTAACAGCTAAAAACGTAAGTGAAACATACGCTGGTAAATTAAAAAATCATCTTAATATTTGGAAAAGATACACACACGACTCAGTTGTACTCGACTGGGTCAAAGGTTACAAAATACCTTTTATTAAAAAACCCTTTCAAAAATATACAAATATACCCAGATTAAAACCAAGGGAAAAAAGTAAATACGAACGGGTTATACAAGACCTAAAGAAAGTGGGAGCAATAGAAGAGTGCAATCATGAGAAGGGGGAATTTCTGTCTACTTATTTTTTACGGAAAAAATCAAATAATAAGTTTAGGTTTATCTTAAATTTAAAACAACTAAACAAGTTTATAGTAGCTCCACACTTCAAATTAGAAGACTACAAAACAGCTAACAATGCCATTGTTAAAAATTGTTTCTTAGCAAAAATAGACTTAAAGGATGCATATTTTTCCATCCCTATTTCAAAAAAGTATAGAAAATATCTAAAATTTAAACTTAATAATAAGCTCTTTCAATTTACTTGCATGCCATTTGGGCTTAACATAGCCCCCTACGTATTTACTAAAATTTTAAAGCCCATTTTAAAACATTTAAGGTCGGAAGGCATTCAGACTGTAGTCTATTTAGACGACTGGCTTGTTTTAGGAAAAAGCAAACAAATATGTCTACAAAGTGTTAGGAAAGTTATTTGCACATTAAAATCGTTAGGATTTTTAATTAATATAGAAAAAAGTATTTTAGAACCAACAAAAGAATGCACGTTTCTTGGCTTTAATTACAACACATCCGGCATGTCAATTAAATTACCTCAAGAGAAAAAAGACGCGTTACAACAAAATATACAAAAATTCAGTGTCAAAAAGCGATGCAAAGTTCGGGAATTTGCCAGACTTATCGGGAAATTGGTCGCAGCCTCCCCTGCGGTAGAGTATGGGTGGTTGTATATAAAAAACTTTGAACGGGAAAAACAGTGGGCTTTACTAAAAAATAAAAAATCATATGAGGGCAAAATGTCACTTTCCCCAACCTTAAAAGAAGATTTTCATTGGTGGCTGCAAAATATAAAAGATTCCAAACAATATATTGAAACAAAACAATACTCTTTGGAAATTTTTTGTGACGCCTCCAGTACGGGGTGGGGGGCATACTCAAACGGAGTTACTGCACATGGTTTTTGGACTATAGAGGAACAAAAACACCATATCAATTACTTAGAATTAAAAGCAGCCCTTTATAGCCTAAAAAGTTTCTGCAAAAACAACACTAATACCAACATTTTGTTAAGAATTGATAACATTACAGCTATTTCTTGCATTAATCGCATGGGAAGCGTTCGCTTTATGAACCTCAATGACATTACCCGACAAATCTGGCAATTTTGTGAAATTAAAAACCTCTATATATTTGCAACATACATTAGGTCAGAACATAATGTAGAAGCCGATAGTGCATCACGGCTACGCTCAATTGACACGGAATATAAACTCTCTTCAACTGCTTTCAAAAGGATAACTGATTTCCTAGGTACCCCTGAAATTGATCTTTTTGCCTCTTATGCTAATGCAAAATGCAAAACCTATTTTTCATGGGGACCCGATCCCAACTCTCAGGGAATTGACGCTTTTACGGCTAATTGGAAGCAATATTTTTTTTACGCGTTTCCACCATTTTCTGTAATTCCCAAAACCCTACAAAAAATTATTAAAGAAAAATCAAAGGGCATAGTAGTTGTCCCGCTATGGCCAAGCCAACCCTGGTACCCCTTATTTAAAAGCCTCTTAATAAGCAACATAATAACACTTAAACCACATAAAGACTTATTACTATCACCTTTTAGGAAACCACACCCCCTTTGGATGTCACTTACCCTGGTGGCAGGAGTATTATCGGGGAATCATTTAGGAGGAAGGAGGTACCAGACGAAGTCATACCAACATTCTTAGCTTCCATATCAGACGCAACCATCAAGCAATATGACGCATGTTACAAAAAATGGTGGAACTATTGCGTAAAAGGCAAGAAAGACATTTATGATAAGAATATTACTCATGTATTACAATTTTTTAGAATGCAGTTAGATAATAATAATTCTTCTTATTCAACTATTAATTCATATAGATCAGCATTATCTTTAATTTTAAATTTTGGATCAGTTGAAGAGGCATTGTTAAAAAGGTTTTTAAAGGGCGTCTATAATACTAAGCCCCCAGAGCCAAGGTACGCGGTCACTTGGGACCCACAAATAGTATTAAACCTACTAGAAAAATGGTATCCACTCACTACGCTTAACCTAGAAAAACTTACACTAAAGTTAACTACCCTAATTTCCTTGGTAACAGCACAAAGGACCCAAACCTTATCGAAAATTTCATTAGATAATATATTTTACTATGAAGACAGAATTGAAATCAAAATATCAGAAAAGATAAAAACTTCGGGCCTCAAAAGACTGCAACCAAATTTGGTACTGCCATATTTCAGAACTAAACCCGAACTTTGCGTTGCATCTACGTTGAAATTTTACATTGGAAAAACTAAAGACCTTAGGACATCAATTAAATCGTTACTCTTAACCCATAAAAAACCTCATTCCGCGGCATCCAGTCAGACAATCAGTCGCTGGGTCAAAAGTGTTTTAAAAGAAAGCGGACTAAACACTGATATTTTTAAAAGCCACAGTATTAGACATTCCACGTCATCAGCGGCTTTCCGTAAAGGTGTAAATCTAGATTTAATTTACAAAACAGCAGGATGGTCAGTAAAGTCACAAACATTCGCAAATTTTTATAACAGACCACTTACAACAGATCCCAATGATTTTGCAAATGCAGTAATTGCAACAAATAAAAAATAATAAACAAACTAGGGATTGTATATACAGAGACAGAGTCAATCTAGTACTTGCCTGTTATTATTATCATTATCAGAGTCATAAGCTGATTGTTACTAATTTAAAAGTAAATGATTAAAAAAGAAGAAAAAAAAAATTAAAAATAAAAAAAAAAAAAATAAAAATTAAAATTATTTTCTATTAAAAATGTTTATAATTATTGTTCATTTAACAACTTATAGGTATTTCAATTGTATATGTATGTACAGATGGAATGCTAGTGTTAGATGTTAGAAAATAAGTTCCTTTATTAATATTTATCTAAGTAATCGTCATGTGTGTTATTTAATTTTTTGTTGTACCATATTGTTACCAATAAATTGACTAATACTATTAATTACATAAAGTGTTTTTATGTGGATATAATAACTTGAGTGGCTCGATTGCTACAATATCTCTAAACAGCTACAAAATGCAATAAGGGAGACGAAGCTGCGAAGGAAAATTATAAGATCAAACGACTTACCTGAAGGAAGTTCGATCATAATTTTCCGAGCAGCTTCGTCTCCCTTATTGCAGCCCGCCCTCAAGTGATATACAGGGTGGAGAATCCAATCTGTTTCGTATTCTTATACCCACCCCAAGCAATCGAGATAGCTTAACGAAATTATAATGACGAGTTAAAGGCTGAGTCACGACGATGTTTACTTATTTTATTTCTTATCACCTACAAAAAAGTGCCGATTCGGAGCGAAATTATACACTACAAAATGCAATAAGGGAGACGAAGCTGCTCGGAAAATTATGATCGAACTTCCTTCAGGTAAGTCGTTTGATCTTATAATTTTCAAAGAAATTTTATTAACTAGCTAAACAAGAAAATACAGTTGTTCAAAGAATAATGTGCAAAACGCAGTACAAAAGCATTACAAAAAAATAATCAGAAGGCACGGTTTAATATCGGGTGTTGCCTCCTTTGGTACGGATTACGGCCTGGCAACGTCTGGACATGCTGAGAACCTCATTTCTTATTTCATCTTGCTCGATAGCGCCCCATACTTCCTCTAGTCTTAGCGATAACTCATTTAAATTGTTGGGTTTATTTGGTAGAGCTCGTAGACGCCTATTCATCATGTCCCAGATAGGTTCGATGGGATTGAGGTTCTGGGCTATGCGCTGGAAAATCCATCGTCTCGATTTGGACCTCCTCCAAGTAATTGTGGACAACTCTGGCAATATGTGGCCTGGCGTTATCGTGCATAAAGAGAAAACTGTCCCCTGTACAGGGAGCAAAAGATACCACTTGAGGCTCCAAACTGTCCACAACGTACCTGTGAGCAGTGAGACGGCCTCTCTGAATGATCACCAGTTCTGTTCGAGCTTCCATATTAATGCCGCCCCATATGATAACCGACCCACCACCATAAGCATGTTTTGGTTGTATACAGCATTGCGCAAATCGTTCGCCCGGCCTTCTGTATACTGGAATACGACGATCGTTGCCATATAGGCAAAACCTAGACTCATCTGTGAACAATACGTTCGACCATTGATAGTTTTCCCAATTTACATGCTCTCTAGCAAAAGCCAGTCCAACTCTTCGGTGCTCTGGGGACAACGGTGGTCCAGTTGCAGCCATTCTGGGTCTCAGATTATCCTCTCTAAGACGTCTTCTTATCGTATCGCTGCTTATTTGTTGGTTATATCGCCTTATAAAATTCTGGTGGAGCAATGTAGCTGTCACAAATCTTTCTCGCAGAGCCTGAAGTTTTAAAAATCGATCCTGATGGGCATCGGTTATTCGACCACGGTCTTGGCCTGGTCTTCTCTGGTTATTTCCAGTGTCCTGGAATCTTCTTATTGCTAGCGAGATCGTTGATTGTCCAACCTGAAATCTTTCCTCTATTTGTACCTGAGACAAGCCTTCTTCAAATAATGCAATAACTGCAGCACACTCTTCGGGGGTGAGATTGAGACTTTGACGTACGTTAGGGTACATTTTACTGATTTAAGTGTTTAACAGACAACAGCCACGCACTCAAATAAAATGATCTTAAAATAAACGACTTCAAGCATTTCAGCGAATATACCTGTTTTGGGAATTTATAAAAACTACTGATAAATTCTTATCAGTCATGAAAAAAAGGATCGCCTCAGCAAGAAATAATAAACAGAAGTAAATTTA